GTATGTATATATGTGTGAATGCATGTATGTATGCGTAGCTGTACCTATATCCATATCCATATATGCATATATATATATATATATATATATATAACTGTATATATATTAAATATAAATTTGCATATAAATACAAACATAGATACGAACATACAAATAGATATATATAATTCCATAAACATATACATACGCACACACACACACACGCACACACACATATATATATATATGCATACATATATATATTTATACATACGGTAATACTTACACACACACACACACACAATATATATAAATAATACACCCACCAACACGCACGCACACACACATACACGTACGCACACACACACACACACACACACACACATATATATATAAATATAAACAAATCAATATACACACGCAAACACATCAGCCTAAGTTAATCGCTAACTATATTATAGTACGAAGTACTATATGTATTAATACAAAAGTATTTAAACGGGGTTTCAAGTTAATACACTAGAAGATTTCACCATAACACACATCATTGCCTGCGTTGTACCAGAGTTGGGCTTCTTCCTTTCTTAAACTCATCTTTAGAGTTCCATAATAGAAAGGACTTCATAGACACAGACACAGACACACAGACAGATACACAAACAGACACAGACACAGGCACAGACAGATACACAAAACAGACACAGACACAAATACAGACAGAATAGACAGAGACACAGACACAGGCACAAACAGATACACAAACAGACACAGACACAAACACAGAAAAATAGACACAGACACAGACACAGGCACAGACACAGACATATATATATATATATATACAAACACGCACGCACGCACACACAGACACAAACACACATACACGCACACACACAAACGCATGTACACGCACGCACACACACACACATACGTAAGCATACGCACACACACAAACGCGCATACACACACACACACACACACACATATATATATATATGATGTATCTCAATAATTATTCGTGTACGTAACATTATTGACGTTAGTCTAAACGGAAAATGTATTATATCCATATATTCTGATGAAGGCACGTTATATTTCGTAGCCTGTATTTCCGTGAGCAGCATTCATCCAATCGTAAATGTAAACCTTCGGTGTTGCACGAAACCATCGGACCTTATATTTTCTTACTAAATACTCGAATTCTGTACTTTACAGACTATTGATATATAAGAGAATAGTCCGCAAATACAATTAATTGAACAGCTATGGCCGAGTTAGATCCCGCAGGTATACATGGTTGTGATGAATTTAGATTACTTCTTGAAGCATGCACATAAAACATATAAACCCATGCACAAAACTAAAATCGAAAGGTTCACAAAGTGTAGGCGTATGTATACCTTAGTGTACTGACATAGATCGGGTGGGCCAAGACCTGTCACACGCGATAGACCCCTTGTTCGGATTTCCAAGGACTCGGTCAGAGTATTCTCAATGATCTCTGGGACCGCCCGAGCATTCGCAACATCCCCCATTACGCAAGTTTATCTGCCACTCGTTGTGAACACACACACACACGCACACACACACATATATATATATAAATAAATATATTTACCTCTATCTATATATATATCTATGTATATCTATGTATATCTATATCTATATATACATCGCAAACAACAGATTCACAGCAGATAAAATCCGTTCCGAATATGAACATATACTAGGTGAACCCTCTACCGTGTGGTTCTAATCCGTTTCGAATATAAACATTAAATACGAGAACCCGTTGTCGTGTTGTTCCGAGTTCCTTTATTTATTTACTTTCAACCAGAGGTTTCAGGAGACGGTGAGACCGACCGACCGTGAAAATTTTGAAAAAAAAGCAAATTATACAAAAAAAAGGGTTTATTTTATTTGATTTTTCCAATCTCTCCTACTCTCTCTCGTCGGCTGTAGATTGTGGAATGTCAAACGTGTCGGCGTACAGACATATTCTACCGCAAAACATTCGCATATATATATTTTTATTTTTAGTGTATTTAAGACTGTAAAGGCGATTAGCGAAGATGTACACATAAATATGACAATTGAATGTTCACAGCAAATGTATATGCATATGCATATGTAAATGTATGTGTATATTTTCTATGTACAACTATATGTATATATACAAGTATATGTATATTTATATGTATATGTATATGTATACGTATATGTATATGTATAGGTATATGTATATGTATGTGTATATGCATATGTATATGTATATGTATATGTTATGTAAATGTAAATAGTATATGTATATGTATATGTATATGTATATGTATATGT